TTTGCCTTGTACAACATGAAGACTTTGACCGGTGTGGCCAATTAGGGTGGGTTGCTCGAAGCCGTAGCTAGCTGTGGAGGGAGTCGGTGCAAAGTTGAATTCTTGTACAATGCGGGAAACTTCTGTTGTAAGCCGGCCAGTAGCGCGGTCGTTGAATACGGGGGGTGCTGCGTCCCATAAATACCTTATCCAGCTTGGATCCGAGCTTGCACTCCTTGTTCTGTTATAACCTCGACAGGCCTAGCCTGACCTTACTAGCAGCTGTACTGGATGTCCATCTGGAAAACCGGTGTGACGGGATAAGTTCCCATAGCTGTTAAACTTGACGTTGACATCTCTGTTGACGATATAGCTTGTAGTGTATATGATGTAGAAGTAGTTTTAATCGCATTTGCCGTCGTGAAGATTGCCATAATAGAGCTGAACACCTGGAGCGGTTATAGTCAATGTCACAATGCATTAAGTTGCGCATGAATACTATGTACACTTCATGTACCAGTTGAATCCATGTAAGTATGCCTTTTAAAGTTGAACTGCCAAAAGTGCAGCTTGATGAATGTAGAGGCATGATGACGTACAAAGCCTTGGGAAGTCGAAACTTCAATGTTGTAAAGTCGTTTGTTTCGATGAAGTCGTAATGCGCGAAGTACACAACATCCTACAATAGTAAAGATTGCATAAAATGCGTAAGTTCCATCGTGTTGTATAGTAGTATGTTGAAGTCGAATAGAGTTGGGAAAGACAATTATAGACCAGTCGAAAGTTTCAATAATGGACTTGTCAAAAGGTCGAAGAAAGACTTTTCATTGATGTATTGCCGCTCTGCAAGCCCAAAAAACTTTCTGGGCATCTTCCACATTTGTGCATTCATGTACACATGAATTGCTTGTATAAATTCCGTTCTCCATCGAAACTTGTATCAGAATTCTAATAAATTGTGTTGAGGACGGGTCTTAAGATCGGAGCATACTGGGAGTACATGACAATCCGATTGGTACTCAAAACGCCATGTATTGTCCGTAAGAGTAATGCTCGCGATCTGATGCTTGTCAACTTGGAGCTTTGGAAGCAGTGTACCTAACTTAGTCTTCAACAATAGTTAAAAAAAGTCTCGTTCGGACATGTCTATGACGATTTGTCTTCAAAAACGCCAGCCGTGAGTTGCCCATTCAATGTGAATGGGGCACGTTGGCCCATATATAGGTCCATGTGGGGGGGCAGATCAAGTTAAGTCGCAAGATTGTGTCGAACACTTATCGTGTTTTCGGTGCAGGTCTGGCGAACTGATCCACCTGAAGTAGACTGTTTAGTAGATCTTGTGTCGCAAAGCATCCATAGCGTTCCACAAAGTCTTGTAGGTGGGTGAACCCTTATGCTTTCAGAAAGCCAATAGTGCTTTTACTGACTTCGGCCAATGGGGTTTCATTATGTCATGACTTGCAAAAACCGTTCCCATTCCGTGGAGCCGTGAGTAGTGCGCAGTTCCGCCCATACACCTAGAGTAGATTTCCAAAACTCAGACAATTGATTCCATTGCTCTCCCTTCATATCTGCATATAAAACATCAAAGCCTGTACCAAGGGAGCCTAATGTTCTTGTAAAGAGTTTGAGTGCCGGAGTAAACCATCGGGGTGCAGAATTTAATTCACAAGTCATGGCAATTCCATCCCTTAATGTCTTGAGGAGCATAATGTGGATAAAGGCTGTAACAGGTGTCAATCCTAATCCACCCTTTGAAACACACGTGTAACTTCATTCTTTAGCGAATTTTTCGGCAATCGCGGAGTCACTATCCGTATCCTTTGAGTGAACAAAGTTGCGGATGATGACCTCCAAAGTTTTCCGATAATTCGGTGTAATAGACGTCACGATGGCTGTGTACCAAAGTAGCGGTAAAATGATGCTTTGTAATGTCACCACTTTGTCCCGTAATGTATGTGTACGGTATCTCCAGATGGCGCATCGTCGTCGTAATTTACAAACCACAACAAAAAATCGTTGTTTGGGTGTCACAGTCGCGCCCTGAAGAACACTTGATAGTACCACAGTGTCCAACGGCTGTACCGCTTTGAGATTCGTTCAAGCACGTAGTCTGACCAATTTGGACAAGTCGACTTGGTGCGTAAACGACATGACGCACGTCTTATTCGTTTTTAGGCGTGAATCTAATGCTAATGCAGAATCTTGAACCACATCCAGGAATTCAGGTGCGTAATTAACATCAGCTAGTAAACCGGTGCAGTCATCTGCAAAAGCTAGTAGCAAATGTGGGGATGACCCATTGTCAATATCCAATCCTCGCAACGAAACTCGAGCACGTAAGTAATTCATAAGTAGTTCGATGAACAACACAAACAGTCCCGAAGATAGTGAGTCACCTTGTTGTACCCCGGCCCCCAATAAAAAGAAATCTCCTGGTAAATTGTTCAACAGCAAACTAACAGAAGTCTGTTTGTAGAATGTTTTGATCCAGGATAGAAAGATCGTACCAAATTAGAAGTGATTCTGTACCTGTCCAACGCTGGCAATAGTAAACGCTCGAAGGCCTAGGCGAAATCGATAAGAACAGCACAAGCGTCCGTGTCAGTGTGCTTGCATAATTCTTGTAAGTCTTGGTCTTGGAAGCGAACAAGAGAGTAACGAATAGATCCATTAGGTACAAACCCACTTATCTTCATGTATCAGCGAAGGAAGCACCAGTCCCAGCCCCCACGCCAGAATCTTGGGACCAAGCTTAGCATCATGGTTCAGCAGCGTCAATGGACGGTAGTTTCCAGTCTGCGATCTATCTCCAGTGTTGTGTAGCAGTGAAAGGCGCGCCCGTCGTTGAGACTTAGTCAAATTTCCATTTAAAAACAGATTGACATGTTTATACTCGTATATGCGAGCCCACAGGCTTGGCGAAATCTTGTAGTTTCAATCGGTAATTCGTCGGGGCCCAACGCTTTTTTATTGGAGGATTTCATGATCGCGCAGTATAAGTCGTTTGCCGTGATGGGCGCTTTAAGTAGACGCTGTTGTGCTGGCGTAAGTTTTGCCACTGTTTGACATAGTATTCGCGCTGAGCGAAGTGGCTGATATGAAATATCCCGTAGATGACTAAAATCCGGCGAAGTTGATTGGAATAGTTGTCCTCAAAACCGGCGGAATCCGTCTCTCGAAAACAATAGGGTCGTCGCTCTTCGATCCATCGGCAATGGGAGACCTGAGACAGTCCTGTCTTGGTGGCCGAAAAATGTGCTTTGTTGCTCACTCACTAAGATGTATGTCGGCTGCAAATTTGCTCATTGCGTTTCTTTCTCGATACGTCTTCTTGTATGCACTCAGATCAGCTTTTGCTTGTCGTAGTGCTTGCTTGTTGCAGTCGATCGAAGCCAGATTGAAGTGGTCGACGACATCGTTCACCGCGGCGAGTCTTATGGTCCCCGCGCAACAGCTTATCGAAGTTCAACCCATCGACTGCGAAGATAATTGCAATCGGAACGCTTGTGTTCATCCAGAAGACACCCTAGGTTAGCGCCTTCAAAATCACGAATCCGTGCTGCAAGTCGCTCCGCAGACGAGGTAAGGTATGAGATGACATCTAGATCTCGTAGAAGCCATTTGGGGCATCGCCACGGCGCACGCCTCAGGCTCAACTACGCGTTGAATATCGTGAGGTTAATACTGTAATACAGCAGGCGAGGATACATATAAAAAAATACCGTTAAGCCAAATCAATTTAATTGTCGTATAAATTTCTTGTGTACGTAGTTTCTTGTGATGGGAGGGCGCTGGTGAGCTCTAGAGAACGATAACATTCCAGCGCCTTTATCACTAGAAGTTCGCCAGTTGAATGTGGCAATAGTAGGGGTCAATCAAACCGAGGACTGGTTCTTGTGTCCTCCCTCCTACAAACCGCATTATGGTTGCGCTTGGGAATAATTTTTATCACTTCAAATGCCAGTCCTGTTGACATTTACGAGGTCTCCAGCAGGACATTTGGACCTGCTTTTGCGCTTACAGAACATAGTACAGTGTCAAAGACTCACTTTCTGTCGTGATGACAGATGTGGTCATGAAGCACTTGTGGTTAGATCCTCTCTTTAAAAAATCTCATGACGTCAGGGACTATTTTATCCAAAGCAGATTTGACATTGTTGACTTCAGCGCGTCTCAAAAAACAACATATACTTTTGATATTCTTGGATTCTAATTCATGCTTGGCGATGTGGTGCTGACCTTGTCGGATCAACGAACGGCAAGCCTCGGGCGCATCGAAAGGAATAGTCTGTGGCGTAGCTTGCCTATCAAGAAAAGCCTCGACGCTTGTCAGATCGTGCCAACCGGCCCAATAGGGCCCCAAATCAACGGCAAAATGGTCGTGTTGCTCATGGCAGGTGCTGGCTGCTTGCAACTATCTGTTACAAGCAACCCTTAGAATCTTATCTGGTAGAGCCAATCCTGTAAGGCACTGTGATCCGGTCGGCACCCGTTGCGAAGTCTATCAATTTTACCAGATTTGTTGATTTCGCGATACAATATCCATCTGAACTCTTTTTGCCTGCGAACTTCAATGCGGAGAGCTTCTCCATAATGCTGTAACTGTGACGTAAGTTGGGCAGGCTGCAGAAATTGACGGAGTTGCTAGGTCCGTCTGAAAAAGATAGTTTTCAGAAATGTCCGCTTGTTTAGTCGGAAGAACACTGATTTATATGAAACAATGGCTGCAGAGAAGCTCGTATACTATTTTGGATGTCTTGTAAGCAATTGCTTGATTTTATATTAGAATCCTTCTTCTTCGTGGTGTTTGGCCTTGTATTAGTGTTGTATCAGAGGTCATGTTTTTATTAGCATTCTTAAAGGACGGTAGCAATGTATCCGATAACATCTCTCCCATCAGTGTCACATATCATAAACTTAGCTTAGATGCAGCGGGGCTGTTGTAGCTTTCTCGCTAAGAGGAAGCTTGGTCAAGGTCGGTGATCTTCATTCTATACTTAGAACCAGTTCGAGTGTAGCGGATCGCAATATAATTACACTAGGAAAATCATAAACCCTCCCCAAGGCTATACAACTCTTCCATTAATAAAGTGAACTGTAAATCATAGTTTTCTTTGCGGCGATGCCGCATATATTTAAATCTTTAGATTTTCCTATTTATGTAGCGAAACCTAAGTCCAGCCACGTACACTCGCCTCTAACGAGGCTCGCGTGTCTAAGACACCGCAACATTCCCAGGACCTTCTTTGATGAATCTCTGCTTAATGAGCCTTATGTTGACGATAAGAAAGACGCCAAGCCTCGCTGGTTCCGAGAAAGCCTGCAGATAGTGCTCTTCTTCGTCTCATGCACGCGGTGCAACTTCGGACAGCACGTTCGCGGCTTCAAGGGAAGCACAGCCCAAGCTCTTGGTAGCCGAGTACCGCGTAGCGCATTGTCATGGACAGGTCCCACGAACAAAAACACAGACGCGATGTCTACTATTGACCGCGCCCGCCATGGGCGATAAATCTCCTCGTCGAGGATTTTGGAGGAAGTCGACTACGAGTTGGGTACTCCATTCTCAGAGAGAGCGAGGTGCCCTGTAATGGGGTTACACGTAACCTTGTATGAAGAGGTGGGTCACACAAGATTGAGTGACCGCACAAAGGAGTGGATTACCCAAGTCGGTGAAATTACACGATTGTGTGGAGAAGCCACTACGTGGCGGGACGGCCAGTAGTTATGCATTTTAATAAGGTTTATCTATGTTCGTAAAGTATTACAATATTAATTCAACAAAAACGAAGGCTTTAGATATTGTCGGTTTTGCCGCAACTAAAACAATTAAATTTTAGTCGGAAGAGCGTCTTTACCTTGATCAAGGTTATAAGCACTCTTGGAGGTAGCGGATTGCGATCCGCTACACTCGTACTGGTTCTTTAATATAATGTAAGGTCGAAGACATTGGCTAAGCTTCCTCTAAGCAAAGAGCTACGGCTCCCCGCTGTACTTTATAGCTCTCGTTGTCAATCTACGCCTTAGTCGTTACGACTGATTCTCTGTGAGGATGGCAAATTGCATCTATTTGCACCAGGGTATGCAGGACGGGCTTAATAAGCTGATGTCACTGCTTGGCTCTGACGGCGGGAAACACCTTGTTTTTCAAGGTGAGACGATAAGCGCGCGCTTAGAGGAGTTTTTCAATTTATGAAAATACTCTATTAGGATACCTACAGCAGAAGCTGTTGACGTCGACTACGTCCATGACGCCACCGTCGACAACTGAAGGCTCCTCCCGACCCAGGCCGCTCATGGTGAGCGTTAAGACCTTTAAGGACAAGGAAAGAGGAATATCCTGCTCTTGGTAAGAGGTCCAGATGGCGATTACGTCCGCCATGATCCAGATCGATCATCAGCTCGTGGCGCTAGCTCGTGGGGCGAGCGCAATAATGGGTCCTTACGTGCGGTACTTTGTTCGAAGTGGCGCTCTCCTCCTGGATGGAGCAGAAGCTGCAGCTTTCACAAGTGTTCTCGCCGCCAAATTGGAAGGATTTGGTCGACTTTGTCCAAGGGTTGATAGCTCTCATTGCCGGTATGACAGCAGATTCTCCCCCGAGGCCTTCACAGTGATAGTCTTTATGGAGTGCCTTCGCACTGGCGTGGCCAGAATAGAAATTTCCGTGTGCACCCGTCATCTTTTGTAGAAGCGGTGAATGTGGCATTGCATGCTGAATTCAGCATTAAGTTGGTATGGCCTGGTTGGAATGCACACCCTCAGAGCTCGTTGAGCAGGCATAAGCCAATCGATCACAGCTATGCTGAGAAAGAGGGTGGAGCGCTCCGAGCTACTGGGCAGCGGTTATACAGCCGATAGTATCTTGTCTGTGGAGACAACCGTCAGATACGGACTTGTAATCCCTTGCGCAAGGCGCGTAAAGGTTTATGGAGCCAACCGCTTCTCACCAACTTAATTTGTTGCGGGGAAACAAGCAACCAGGTAGGCGCAGGGCGCTCTATTGAAGGAAACTGAGCTCTGTCGATCTTCAACAAGGTAGTGGGCATGCAGGGACCAGCCCCGAAGAGCTACGTGCTCTTGAACACGGAACGTGTATGCAAACCGGGCTTGTTGGTCGTCAAAGTGACCGTGAAGGGCTTTAAGAAGAATGGAAAATCTTGATCGATTCCGGGGCGTTGGGTAATTATGTTCGACGCTCCAAGATCGGAGGAAGTCTGCTGTATGCTAAGGCGCTGAAAGTGCGGTTGAGTGACACCGTCACTGTTCGCTTAGCTACGGGGGCATGTGTCACTGTGCCGAGAGTCCCTGTGGACCTCGATGTCAAGTTTCTTGACCTCGATAGCTTGAAACGCTGCTTTGGCGTAGACCTAGATGCAAATTTTAAATTTTTTTGGTCTGGTATGGTCGGAGCACCATGAGCTATGGATTGATTAGAGGTCGAAGGCCTCGAGCACTACGAGATCCTCTGCTGGTGGAGCTCTGGTAAGTCATGAACCCACCTCATTCAAATAGCAGAAGCGATGTCGGCGCGGGCACTTGACCATGTCGGTAAATGTGCTGGGAATTGGAGAATTTGAGCTGTCAAACACCAAATATGTTTTTGACAGGAGTCCCGAGCGTGGCTCCCGGACTGAACGTGGAGTGGCACGTAATCAACTAAGCGCGCTACAGTACTGGAGCAGTCGCGGTATGCCACGCGTGGCATTGTTGACCAAGGGCTGAGGCATCATGGGCGAGACCCCAATAGTAGAAGTGGCACGTAATTCGTTTGGCACTGCTTTCGTTTCGAAAAAGTCACTGCATGGCAAGAGTGGCATGGTCAGCCAAAAGGCGATGCATCGAGGGCGAGGCCTTAGTAAAGCATGTGGAGTGGCACGTAATTTACGAGCACTGCTCACGTTTTGAAGCAGTTGCTGCATGCCACGAGTGACATGGCCCGGTGAATCCTAAGCAAAGCCCTTCTGATGCGCGTGAAGTGGCTCGTTCTCCACTGGACGACGACTGTGGAAATGGCAGCTCTTCATCGAATGTTGTAAATAAAAATAAAGGCTTCGGTCAAATAGGGAGTGGGGACACTGGATGACGCCGAGTGCGTGTTCTTACTGGTCTCGATGAGGCGTAAAGAGGAGTCGGCGATGCCGTGTGATATTTGCAAGATGTAGGACGTCGACCCTTACCCAGAGTGTTTACCGTAGACAAAAGCGCACAGTTTTACACCCTTGTCAACGGTATGACGGGTGAGGAAGACGACCTCGAGGCTATTTCCGCGGTGTATTTTTTTTAGTTGAACGAGATGTCTTTGAAGAATATGGCGGTTTAGGCGATTTAGCCGAGGTGGCCATTATACGACCGAACGAGGAGATTTGATCGCCGTCGCTTGTGGATGAAACAGTTTCGGAGGAAACAAAGAGGGTCCTGATCGCACGTGGTGGATTGTCGATCCTTTAGGGTCCCTCGGATCCGTACTATCCTTTGGTAAAGGATTTTAGAGACGTCGTCTTCGAAGATCCACTGCCGGTCCTACCTTCGGACCGAGGTGTGCGTCATGCTATTAACCTGGTTACAGGAACCTAATGCTGCGTAACACGCCAACGGCCTCTGCCCAAGCAGCAGTGTGACGTCAATGAAGCTTTTTTCCGTGTCAAGCACGATGCAGAAATGGTGCATGAGTGCAAGTCCCCCTACTTGCCACCGATGTTTTCGTCCGGGAACCGAACGGCAAGGGACATATCCACAGACCGATGTTCAAACTGAACGTGTGTTTTGGGTTGTTGAGGACGTTCTCCGCAGCGTCTGCGCTGAGACGCCGTTGCGCTGGAGCGACATGGTGCCACTCGTAGTTTTTATTGAGAACAATGCAGTGCATTCATCTACCGGTTACACGCCGTTCTACGTGAACGGACTCGTTCATCCTCGCGTCCCACTGTCGCCTCCATTAAATGGCTTAGGGCTTGGAGAGGTGAGAAAAGCCGAGCGGCTAGCTAATGTCAGCCCTCTCTCTGTTCGTGAAGTAGTCGATGACTTCTTGTATACCAGACTGAGTGTACTGCGATATATTCGCGATGCGATGGCTGAAAGCCACGAATACGCAGACAAAAGAGGAGGTGGAAATACTAGAAAAGTTAGAGGTCGGAAACCTGCTTTTCAAATGTCAGAAACATTCCTATACATGCAATTTGTGCTGTTATTAAGACGAAGCTCCGTTCACGGATTTCGGACCTATAAAGGTTGTGGTCAAATGGGGCCTTGCGTATACGCAAAACCTTCTGAGAAGGATATGCACCCACCCTGTTTTATGTGGGCTTTCTTTTAACGAGATTCCGCGAAAGTGAACGCAGAGTTGGTGTCGCCGGCTCGACGCCCAAAGGCGCTTGACCACCCAGAAGTTGAACCAGCAACTGATATTGGGCTCGGTGAGCAACGTCCTCCATCTCAAATCGCGCCAAGCACTCTACCTCCGCAAGGAGCGATGCATTCGTCTACTCAATGGCTAGGAGCCACTCCGACAGAGCGCCATAGTTCGCAACGTGAGGCAGTCGGTGCACAAAGTGCTTTAAGCTCTTTAGGCCTTCCGTACAGAAATATGCGACTCCAGCATGATGCTCGGCGGAGTCCCCATCGCGACGGACCTCGTCCTATTCTCGACGGGAATTACGGTTTCCACTATTGAGTGCAACGTCTTGTAGGTCGACGTCGTCGACAGGGTCAAACCACTCGACTTTTAGCCCGCGAGCCACGATCGGGACTCTAGTCTGATACACCTTCGGTGTTCATCTCTTCGAATACTTCAATGTCCAGCACGCTGACCGTCTCGGTCCAGTGCCCGTGCCAATAGCGTTTTTGCCTCCTAGTAGAGGTGTGTTCATGACCCACCAACGCTCCACTTAGAGACGTGCACCTAGCGCCCAAGGTCTTCGACCTCCAGTCGACTTATGGCTCACAGTGTTCCAGCCAAGGCATACCAAGGATTAAAGTTTACCTTGTATCCAAGTCTAAGACAAAGCAGCGTTCCACGCTATCAAAGTCAAGAAATTTGACACTGAGGTCCACAGGGGCCTTCGGCACCGTGACACGTGTCCCCGACGCTAAGCGAACATTGGCGATGTCACTTAACCGAGCCTTAGGACCTCAGCATACAGCTGACTTCTTTCTCTCGTGGAGCGTCGAACATGCTTACCCGACGCCCCTGAGTCGATCAGGACCTTCTATGGTTTCTCAAAGCCCTTCACGGTCGCTTCCACGACCAGCAAGCCCAGCTTGCAAACACATTCTGTGTTCATGAGCACTGAGCTCTTCTAGACTGGTCCCTGCTGACCTCTACCTCCTTGAGGCTAAACAGAGCTCAGTTCTTCCCCAATAGGCGCGGTGCGGCCTACTGGGAGTTGTGTCGTTTTCCCGCAAACCAGAAGACTGGTAAGAATTGGAACGTCGGTTTGATGAGCCTTGACGCGCCTAGTACAGAGGACAACCATCCAAAGGTGACAGTTGTCTCCACAGTCAAAACACCGTCGGGTGTTCGATCGCATTTCGGCAGATCGGAGCTCTGCTTTTCGTCCTCAAAATAGCTGAGATCCATTGACCGAGGCCCGCTCGACGAGCTGCTAGAGTGTGCATTCTAACGAAGTCGTGTCGACTTAAAGTAGAATTTGGCATTCAATACAACAGTGACTGCTTATTCAAAAGAAACGGGTGCACATAAAAGACTTCTATTCTGGCCACGCCAGTACCGAGACCCTCCTTACAGACGGTCACTGTAACTGCCTCGGGAAAAGAATCGGCTGCCATCCCGGCAATGAGAGCTATCAACGCTTAAACAAAGTCCTCCAACTCCATCTTGCCCTGTCGGCGGCAAGGAAACGCGATCGCAAGGCACGCAATATGCCTGTTTAGGCGGTGAGAACACTTGTGAGAGCTATAGCTTCAGCTCCGTCCAGGAAAGAAACGCCGCTTCGACCGAATTGCCGCAAGTCAGTGCCCATTCTCGCGCTAGAACACCGAGCTTGGAGATAGCTAGCGTCATGCGCTGATGCTCGGTCTGGATCATGGCAAATGTCATGGCTATCTTGACCACTCATTTAGATCAGGAGATACTTTTCATTCTTTTCTCGAAGGTCTTAACACTTACCATGATATGCTTGGGTCGGAGGGGGGTCATCCGTCGTCGACGGTGGCATCATGGTCGGAGTCGAAGCCGACATCTTCTGCTGTATGTGATATAGCAGATCATTTATTAAGCTTGGAAACGAACTAGGTGAGCGCTACCCGTTTCGGGTTCTTGCGAAGCGACGTGTTGCACACCCTGAGGGCCAAGCAGAGACATTAGCTTTTTAAGCCCGTCCTGCATGCCCTGAGGCAAATGAGAGAAATGCTCCATCAGTCGTTACCACTCAGGTGTAGAGTGGCTACTTTTGCTACCAAATGCAGCGGAGCTGCCGTGATCTTTCGCTTAGAGGAAGCTTGGTTAAGGTCGGTGACTTTCGTTCTATACTTAGAACTAGTACGAGTGCAGCATATGACAACACAATGGTGTGGCTACATTTAAATAAGAACTCAGTACGTGGCCGGACTGCCAGTATGCTTTACATTCCATTAGGTTTTACAAAATAGATAGAAAAACCCTATGATTTAGATACAGGCGGCTTTTGCCGCAAATAAAATCGAGAAATACAGTTTACGTTTTAAACGGAAGGTTAATTAGCCTTGGTTAAGGTTGTTCTTGGAGTAAGTAGATAGCGATCTCATCTTGTAACCCAGACCATTGTGTGATCACACCATCTTGTGTGGCCCACACCCTTCATACCAGGGCACGTAAACCTCATTTCAATAGAGAGCAAACGGAAACGACACATTTTCGCAAAAGCACTGCACAACACAGCGACGTTTCTGATTGGCTTTCATCTTGTAAGGACCGAGGTGATAAACATTCTGTACAAGTAATGCTGTGACACTGTCAAATTTCTCAGTATTTTAGGTAACAACAAGAGTCACGCGCCACATTTTAAATTTACCGTCAGACTTTGTAGAAATATCTGAAACATTTCTGTCACTGAAATAATTATGTTTCAAAATGTAGTTGTTATTTTGCCGATTATTGTAAAACTGTCAAAATGCGTGAGGAATTTGGCGCAAAACGCTGCGTGGCAAGATGCATGTACCGACTGCTTTTCCTCGCGTATTAAATTGCAAAGAAGGCAGGTCAAAATTTGTACCAAGGATTCTATCAGGCACATAATCCTTGCTGTCTTGAATTAAGTTTATAGACCTTTTGGCCAGTAAAGTCACAAAATTACCAGCTTTAAGCGCAAGAACATTCACAAATTATCGTGGTGGCTACAAGTTGGAAAATGATACATAAGCTATCATAACATGATGTTGCAATACTATAAGAGGATTGGTGAGGTTGTGGTTCCAGTGCCATTCACTACTGTATAGGAAAGCTTAAGCAATAAAAGGAGGCCAGGTAGTCCTTTAGCGTCGACGACTACGTCAAGTTCAGTGTTCTCTAGCCACCAATCCTATGTGTATCACAAGAAGGCTCATTACAACAACGACTGCTGTCTAGCCCTACAGTTCAAACACTATGAATATTTAGGTACTAGGAACTACAAATTAGGATTGAATCTCAATAGGTGCGACTACTCCACACTTGAAACTTTCTAGTATAAAGGGTCATAAGATGAAGAGGAGGCTAATTGCTTTTATCGATATATCTACGCAAATAGCGCGCAAACTCTTTTCGATACCAGTGTGATACAAGAATTTGGAAGAGTTTTTTTGGCGAGGAACTTTCCAGAAGTACTTGAAAATTCTTTGCTGTGCGATCATTCGAGAGAGCAGCTCTGAACAACTCCAGTGTTTTACACTTTACACCCTCTTGACACTTTAGACCCGCTTCAAACTTTGCCATTCTTTGTGTATCAACTCCATCGACCGACATCCGTTCTTGCATAATCTCTTTGAGCAACGTTACCTGATCGTCGTTCTTTAAAGCCGCTTTGAACAATCTCACTTGATCGTTATCATTGAGAACCCCTTGGAAAAGCCTCACTTGGTCGTCACTGCCCAGCTGCTCCTCAAAGATCTTCATAAATTTTCCAGGCTTCGAATAAATCCAATAGAAAACGCTTTTCTTTTCATCTTTTGACGCAAGCGTTCTCAACACAGGAGTCTCAGGCTCTTCCACATCAAGTGACATTAATTTTTCCGGATGACCTGCCTCAGGCATTTTCGGATCCTCTAGAATTGCGGAAGCTAATTGACGAAGGATCTCGCCGTCATCAGTGTCTATGGTTTTATCAATTGCAGCATCTAGGTTAGAACGCTCGGGTATATCGAAGAATGTGAATGCTACATAGTCAACGTAAACATTCATCGGGTCTCCGGGCATACCTTCAGTTTCATGTAGAGCTTTCCCAAACACTTCTCCTTTTACACCGTTTTCTATGTTGAATCGAAACATCAGTTCGCGTGTCGCGGGGTTGTTCAACAAATCAGGTGCAATATGATTGGTGAAAAGGCGTGCCTTTCGAAGTATGATCCATAACTCTTCTTCCATGCCTGCATCTGCGTAATCATGACAGAGCCTCTGTCCAGCAGCCATTTCACTATAGTCAAAGTACTTAATGAAATCGTCGAGCTGATAGTCCAACCAACGGCCTAGCGTACTATCGCCAAACCATCTTTTTCTCGGGAGAAATTCAAGCAAAAAACCCACAATTTTTTTTTCCGGACTGAAAACATACTTTTCCATCGCCGTTTCGATAGTTTTACTGACAACTTCAAAATCCGTCAATGCTTGGTCACGAAGTACAAATGCATACTTGGCCGGTTCGAAACCTTTTTCAATCAGGTGCTGTCTGCAAAAATCCCACATCGTCTGAGCTTTTGGTCCATACTGTACAGGATCCTGTTCTTCATACGACGGCGATTTGTTCGCTTGAGGCGTGCTTAATTCCGACCGTACCATCGCTGCTTTGCTCGTTTGCGACGTGGTCGCTTCCGACTCTTCGATCAACGGATCGCTCTCTCGCGGGCTAAACACTTCCGACTCTTGCATCACTGCATTGCCTTTATCCGACGTTGTCCCTTTCGCCTTCCTAAACAACGCGCTGACGTCTGCCCTCACTGCTTCGCTCTCATCCGGCATTTTCCCTTTCCGCTTATTTATCAACTCTATGCCCTTCTGCGATTTCACTGAACGAGCTAAGGTGCTGACTTCCTTCTTCTCGTCATTAATTCCTTTAAACCAGTTCAAAAGGGGAGATAAGATACCCCACTCGACTCGTTCCTCATCTTCTCTGTGAATGTTCTTGTCAATGCCGTCACGCTCAGGTTTATCGTAAGTCTGCGACGCTACTGCATCGATAGACGAATTTTTTGTAGCTGGGGTGATCACACTAAGATCTGAGCGATGGACGGATTTGCTTCCACTCGAGTCGTTGACGTGACTCGCACTCGAATTGAGTGCTGAGCAAGCACCAAGGCTTGTCAAGATCAGTGTAATTGAGGATACACAGCGCATGGAAAAAACAATATTGGTTGCTGGCTTGACCAAAGGATTGAAAGTGAGGTGGTTGGAGATCGGGTCACTGGTCCGTAGGTGTCCCAGTGGGTTTGTTAAAAATATCAAGACTGTCTTGTCGTTTGCACCGACCAGAATATGAGATCTATGATAGCTTATATGATCAACATCACTTGCGAAATAGTACATGGATATCTGCACGTAAGTAGCCATCACAATGTGCAGACAGTACTCTCATTGTATCTTATAATTTTGACTCTCTTGCTAT